GGGGGACTCCCGATGCTCAAGATGCAGGAAGAGGTTTGCACGCCACCGACTGCTACAAATCCAGCTCGTGCAGGAGCCGAGCACGGGGCAGGAGTGTCAAATCTGAGCTAAACTGCTGGGCACGCTGTCACAGAAGCAGTTTTAGTCAAAGCCACTATTATCCGTTATTTTAAATATGGAGCCAAATCTAGAAGACGAAGGCGTGTAAGCCTTCACAAAAAGGGGGCTCTACCCAGGGCACCATAAGCCAGCGGCTTTAATCACATGCTTTGGTGGTATCCGAGAGACCAGCCTGGGGAACACGGGTTTGAGTGAAAATAAATAAAATAATAATAATAATAGTAAGTAATAATAGTAGTAATAATAAAAGAAACAACGACAGACATTTGAAAACAAAACTATGGCATAAGAAATGACAGCTGATGGTTTGGGAGCGGAGGGGAGCAGGGGGGAGGATGGCGGGGGGCTGGGGCGCGCCGCGCCGCCCGCCCCCAGCCGTGGGGACTTACCAGCTTCACTCCCGACAGCACCTCCAGGAGGGAGATGAGGTTGTGGCCATCTCGCAAGTCTTCGTAGAGGTCGTTGATGTGTTTGCGCACCTGCGGAGAGCCGGGGAGGAAAAGCCATCAGATCCGCACGCCGCCTGCGCTCTCCTGCTGTTTTGCAAGAGCGCGGGAGGAAGGCCGCGGCGCCTGCAAGCAGACGCCTCCCTCCAAGCCGCGTGCATTTGAAATGGTTATTCCAGAATTATCGCTAAGGAAAGCGGCCTCCCGTTTCCCAAATGACCTGGCAGAAGCCGCTGCCAATTTTACGCATGAAATCAAACTGTTAAACCATCCGTACTCCAGGCAATCCCGTAATATTGCACTCAGACCTCCGCAGAAAGGGTAGCTCAGTCCTGAAGCGGTGGTTTAATTGCTTATGCCACCTTCCAGCGTCTCCCAAAACACGGCACCTAGCTTCTGTCTGAGAGCAGAGGAGGTTTCCGCGGGGCGGGGTGGCTGCGAGAGCAGGCTGACCCGCAATGCAGCCTCTGTACCTGCTCTTCCCCCCAGACACCCAGACCTTGCCCCGGGGTTTGACTTGGCTGGGAAACACCAGCCGTTTTCCCACAGCAGCCTCGGGCAGGCGGCCCCAACGTTTTTCTTCTTTCCCTCCTTTGTAAGATTTAGAAAGTAGCCAAAAGCTTGATGCAGAGGTTTGCAAAGCTGGCAGGAAAATACAGCTGTGACACCTAATGCCCAAATGACTTCTTTTTTTCTTTTCTTTTTTTTTTTTTGAAATGGAGAATTAATTAAAAAAACCCCCTAGCATTAACCAAGAAAAGCAGGAGGCACTTTGCAGTGCGATGTTAATCCTGCTTACCTACCCACGGCTGCTACAACTCCCTTTCACGTACTTTGGGGCTCCTCTCCACACAGGAGCATCCCTCAAAAGACAAAAAAAAGGCCCCTTTGGCTGGCAGGGAGGCACGGGGGGCCAGGGTGGGGGGGGAGCAGCCCCATGCCAGGATCCCCTCCTTCGCCCCGGCTGCCCGCAGCCCCAAGCGGGAGGATGCACAAGCCTCGTGTTAAAGCAAGGACTGGGTGCTGAGGAGGCAAATGCAATAAAAAGGGCTGCGTGGTGATGTTACAGTGCCCTCCAAAGGCACCGGCACGTTTCCACTGCAACCGTCTCTGCTCTGAGTACAGATGCGTATGAACACTCAAATCCAATGCAAAAATTCCCAGACAAGAAAAAAAAATATTAAAAAATTTTAAAAAGGGCATATATCTGCCCGTCCTGAGCCAGAACGGACAGACAGACGGTCGTTTAACCGGCTTTATAATAAAATACGTGATTCTTACCTTCATCAAGTGTTTATTGACCCATTTAGTGAAGGTTTTCTTTTGGACTCTGTCCCGTTCATCTGTCAAAAGAAGACAAAGGCAGCTCTCGGTCAGTGTTTCTCATGCAGAAACGCAAACGACTTTGAAAGGAGGGGAAGAGACAGCGGAATCGCCGCTGGTGCCAGGACCGCCGGACGGATCCTGCGCCCGCGCAGGGGAACAGAGGCTGCTTATTCACAGGTTAGTGCGGGACGGGGCCGCTCACGCGGCTCCGACATCTCGCTCGGGCAGGGAGGTAGGAGCATCCACACAGCTAGAACGAAATACACCGCTTTTTTTGGGGACAATTGCATTATTCGAACAAAAGCAGAGTGGATGATTGGGACGGGTATAGCTGCAGCCGGCAGCGGGCAACTGAACCCCCAAAATGTGTCCCCCCACGCCTCTTTGTCCCCCCTCGAAGCAGTGCAGGGAGGGAGGTGGGGTTTGCCCGAGCCCCCCTGCTTTAGGAGGGTGTCCCCCTCCCCTGCCCACTCTCAGAAGGCTTTAACGCATTATATAAACCCCACAGATGTCCCGTAACAGGCCTCTGCCGGGCACTAGCAGCGCGTGCAATTAGCAGCTTATTCTGTCGCTGTATTTTTGGTTGATTGGATTGTCAGGATTTAATGTTTATTTCTGTCCCGCGGCTCAGCCAAGGGCGCCCTGGCCGGACACTGGGAGCTCCGAACACAGGCGGGACAGGGTGACAATGTGGGTCCCATCCCCAAGGGGTCCCAGTCCCCGGGGAGCAGCAGGGGCGGCCGCCAGCCCCACGGGGTGACAGGACGGGAGATTCGGGGTGATGCCAAGCAGCAATATGGGATGGGGGAGCTGTCGGCGGGCTTTGCCCTACCTGTTCTCGGTGCAAAAAATAGCATCACGTGAAAAACAAAGGCAAACAAGGCGAAAGGAGGGGGCATGAGACGGGGCCACGCTGCTGGAAGGTCCCGCGGGGCGCAGGAGGGTCCCGCTCAGTCCCCACCTCCTCACGCCCGGGCAGCAAGGAAGGCTCAGGGCAACCCCGACAGCCAGCCCTGTGCCAAACAGGATCACTTGGTTTTAACAACATCATCTCGGAGGAAAGAGAGTGCCTCGGTACCGACCCACGCACGTGTGACCCCAAGTTCCCAAGCGCTGCCCCATCCAGCTGGGGGTCCCTGGGATAGAGTGGGAAAGGATGAGCCCCGCTACCCCAAGACATCCCTTTGACAGCACGGTCCACCAGGCAGAAGCACCCCTTGCTTTGGTTTTAAGCCAAAAATCAAGAAAAGGGAGAAAACCAGCACCTCTCAGCCCAGGCTCCCCAGCCACGCTGCGTGTCCTGCCCAATGGCCCCACTTCCTGGGGTGGGAGGTCACTGGGGGGTCCCTGTACCGGCCACGGCCCCAGGGGCCCTCGGGAGAACCTCCCCACATCTCCATCCACACAGATTTGAAAGCACCATCTAACATCCCTCCTCCTCGTCCCCACAGCTTCCCCCATCCGAAAGCACCGCAGTAAAACACACGGCATGCCACCAACACGTCACGTCCCCTGCGCCCCGCTCCGTCCCCCAGCCAAAGCACGTAACCAGGTGCCGAAAACTATCCTCCGGTTGAACTATGGCCGCCCTCGCTCCCCACCCCGCCAGGCTCTGGCCTCGGCACGGCTTCCCGGGACGATGCAGCCGAGCCACGGAGCTGCTGCCGCCCGGCACCGGCGG